CGTATTTCGTGGAAACCACTCACGATAACGATACGTGAAGTCAAAAACCAACTCCAAGCTTGAAAAGTGAGGTTGTGCCAAAAACTGACAAACGGAGATAAGACGAAATAGGGAAAAGGACGAAATAGCGCATAGTGTCGAAAAACGAAAAATGTGAAAATGACTCGTCAAAGGAAGTTGTCAATCCACGGAAAAGAGTCTCAGGAACCAATTCTGACCACTCGAGATGACACTAAGCGGCACGAAACAGAGCTCAGAAAAGAAATTTAAATGAAAAAAATTCATTCGTAAAATTTCAGGAAAAAGGAAAGGAAGGCAAATGACTGGGTCGTTACAGACATCATACACCTCTGGAATTTTGCTGGCACATTACACAATTCGAAAGGCATCCATCTATTTGCAAATGTACCAAATGGACAAGTGAAAGTAGTTTTCTCTTGATCCTTAGGATCAATGGCCACCTTATTATAGCCAGAATATCTGTCTAAAAAACAATAATAGCTCTGGCTAGCCAATCGCTCTAGAATCTGATCAATGAATAGAAGAAGAAAATGAACATTTCTAGTATTGGAGTTGAGTTTTTGGTAATCAATACACACACGTCATCCTGTGGTGGTGTATTGTGGAACTAATTCTCCCTCGGAATTCTCAACTACTATAATACCTGTCTTTTTAGGTACTACCAGAGTAGGACTCACCCACTTGCTATCTGAGATGGGGTATATTATTCCCGCATCTAGCTGTTGAACCAAGAGGGGGGTAAATTGGTTCAAAGTTTGCTTTCTAAAACTTTCTCAACACAACTAAGCAAGCATTCAAGAACAAATAACACACAGTTTACAAGGAAACCCTCTTAACTAGGGAAAACCTTGGTTCTTGGCCTCGGCCAATAAACAATCCATTACTAGCTGTATGTATCTTGTTACACACTCAACTGCCTCACTCTCTGCACATACCCAGGCACAAAAATAGACACTAGTTTTCACAATCAATACACACACTAGTACACCACAGTGCATCCACACACTCCCCCTGTCCTAAGCAACCATGCTTGGACCAAATAAGCTCTCATAGCTCGCCCAACAATGGGGTGAGGATTTAAAGCCTCACTGCCACTTACAATAAGTGTCAACACACTAAATACAATAAAGTCTTTGCAACAATTAGAATAGGCTGGACAACCCAGAATTCCAAGTCGCTGCCTCAGAACTGTAATCTGCTGCATCTAGGTCTGAGAGGTAAAATGGGAAATTCTTTTCGAGATCAATTCACCAGTGCCTCATACAGTCTTCTTTCACTGTTGTACTCATGTTCATAGCTTTGCATAATCAAACACAGTATGAGTATATCACAACGTTCAGTCAAAGTCCTTGGTTCAGCATATAACAGCTTCAGCACAAAAAGCCTCAGCACGAGATAGGCTTCGGCATAAGATAGCTTCGGCACAGATAACTTCGACACAGAATAGCTTCAGCACAAAACCTCTTTGGCACAGAATAGCCTCAGCCCAAATTAACTTCAGCGCAAAACTTCTTCGCCACAGAATACTCAAACTCAAAACATATCATATTTTTGTCACAAACTCAACTTTAACAATCTTGATTCATCAAAATATACTAGCTAGTAGCATAAATCATCATGAAATAGCTAAGTATAATCAAATAGTACTTGAATCCAAGATTTCTTTAGAAAAATAAGCTTAACTAGTGGCCACACTATCCAAATTCATTTTCAGCATATTCTTACCTCAAACTCAGTCTGAACAAGTGTAAAAAGATGAATTATACTTGTGTCAACCTTCAGAAATGACCATCGCAGCTTGAAGCGCCAAGTCACTACTCAATACAGCCCTTGCATCAGCAAATTTAACAGCAGCCTCATCTCAGCAATCAGTACATGCCTCAGATCATCATCAAACAATAGAGAAAAACTTGCTTGACATAGTATACTTGAGAGTACTTAGCAGCAGCTTAATATGCAATGTAAATTCAAGAGGTTTAAACCCTAAGAAGCCTTATAGCATCATATATATACTAGTGTACTCACAGCGGCCCTTGTACAGCTGCTACAATACACCTGTCACTTTTCACCAATGATTTAGAGAGCACAATTCAGATATTTTCAGGGCAATGGACCAATGCAGGCTTAGCACCTCAGCTAATTTTGTCATTATTCTACCAGCTGCATCCGATTACAAGTTTGAGTACTGAATTCCATTTCTGTCCAAACCTAGCCTCTAAGGAATGTAATATTCTTGCATATACCAGCTCTCTAGGACCACTGAAACGTGTTACATATTTGAGCAGAGCTGGAAAGCACCAAAATACCCTTGTAACAGATTTTATACTTCTCAGCTAAGCAAAAGTCCCGAGGTTGTATAAAAGGTAATGCAGTTTCATTTAAGACGATCTAGTGCAATGCAGCTACCCGAGCATACGTATATATATATATATATATATATATATGACATACAACTGAGAAGAAACCATAGTACCCTTATGAGCACTTGTAGCTAAAACGGAAGTGCTGAACCTTCACTGTTCGAGGCTGAAGCATTGCAATGTACTATTACAGACCACTGAAGCAATACTTTTTTACATTAAAAGGCAAACATTCCTTAAGGTAACTTAGGACCAACACTAGTGACTTCACAACTTCCTTCAAAACCACCTCCTTCATATTAGGATTCAATCTTCAATGGAATTCCCAAGATGTTCAGGAATCTTTCTCCAAATGAATCTGATGCACGCAAATTGTGGGGCTAATTCCTTTTAGATTAGCCACACTCCTCCCAATAGCCTTTTTATTTTGCTCAAAAACTTTTAAGAGACTACTTTCTTGGGAACTTGTAAGATTGGAAGCAATTATCACCGAGAGGGTGTCATTTAAACCCAAGAAAGCATACTTGAGCTTGTCCAGAAGTGGCTTAAGCTCAAGCTTAGGTGGAGACTCTAGGGAAGGAATAGGTGGAGTACTAGAAAGTGGAGGAAGAGGCTCAAGTCTAGATTTTCATGGAGGAAAATCTATGATAGGAGTGGAATTGAGCAAAGAATTTACTTCAGCTATTGAATATTCGATATCGAAGTTTTCATAATTGAAGTGATTCAGACAAGCTTCTAGAGGATCCTTGGATAAAATAGTTGGGAGTGATTCCTCAACTAACTCATCAATAACATCAAGGAAGAAGCATTCACTATCATCGTGGGGATGATGAATAGCATTGAAGATGTTTAGCTTGCCTTTCATATTTCCAAAAGATAAATCCATGGCTCCAGTCCTACAGTTAATGTAAGCATTCACTGCGGCTAGAAAATGACTCTCGAGAATAACTGGAATATACTTTGGGAATCGTGGACCGGTTCTGTATCAAGAACTCAGAAATCGACCGGAAAGAAAAACTTGTCCACTTTTATGAGTACATCTCCAATAATACCTCATGGTTGTCTGACAGAACAGTCAACAAGCTATAGAACTACCAACGTAGGTTTTAACTCACCCAGACCTCTTCTCATACACCGAGTAAGGAATAAGATTAACATTAGCTCCAAGATCAAGAAGTGCTCGCTCTATCACATTGTTTCCTTATGATGCAAGAAATTGTAGGAGCACCAAGATCTTTAACCTTTCGAGGAGTGTTATACTTAAGAATAACACTAACTTGCTTGGTGAGACAAATTTTCTTAGGAACTTGGCTTTTAGATTTTCTCTTCAGTGTGCACAAGTCCTATAAAAATTTAGAGTAGGCTGGTATTTGCTTTATAGCATCAAGCAGAGGAAGATTGATTTTGATCTGTTTAAAGACCTCCATCATATCTTGATTTTTTTCCCCTTGTTTACCAAAGTGGGAGGGTTCTTTGAGACGTTCATGAAAAGGCGTTTTTGGCTCATAAGCTGTCTCGGGATTAGGAGTAGATGAAGAAGTGACTCCACCATCAACTCCTATGGTGGATTATGGAATAGTACTTGAGGAAACATCCTTAGGATGTGGATTATGGATGATAGGAACAATGGGAACCCTAAGCCTCTCTTTATCTTTCTGTCCTTTTTTAACTTGATTATCAACCACTCTACCACTCCTTAATGTAGTAATAGCCTGAACTTGCTCATGATGAATACCTAAAGAATTGGTTTCATCAATCATGTAATTTTACCCTTTTGTGTTGGCTACTGGCTGACTAGGCAGCTTTCCATCCTCTCTTCAAGATAAAGTACTCGCTATTTGCCCAACTTGTGCCTCTAGCTTTGCTATGGCTTGTGAATAAGAATTAAGAAGTTGGGTATTGGCTTTAAGATCAACAAGAGCATTGAGTACTTGGTCCACAAAAGCAGAATTTTTAGAAGGAGGTGGAAGATTGGGAGTTTGAGTGGGTTGATTCCTGAATTAAGGTGGACGATAGATACCAAATTAATTAAAAAAGTTATTTTGTGACATAGGATTGGATGAATTTTGATATTGTCCCTGTGATTAAGGTTCCGTGGTTCCTTGACTTTGATTATGCCATAATAGGTTTGGATGATCTCTCCAGCCAGAATTATATGTAGAAGCATATGGATTGTAAGCTGGTTCGGAGAATACAGCATTTACTTGCTCCTGTGGGATCTTAGATGATTGTCCCATCATACGACAAGTGTCAGCAAAATGGGAAGGATTAGCACAGATAGAACAAACTTTCTTTGACAAGGTAGTTTGTGGATTAGCAACAGGAGTAAAGCCAGATGATAAAATTTGATCGAACCTACGGTTCAAGGCTTCTATTTAAGCGGCTAACTCACTAGATTTGTCTACCTTAAAGACTTTTTCAACTTTATGCATTCCAGGTGAAGACCCAGACCTAGAGGAAGACATATGTTGCGTTGAATTTTCACTTAGGGCCTCAAATAGTTCCCAAGCGTCAGCCGGACTCTTATGCAGAAAGGCTCCATTACTAGATGCATCAACCATGTTTCTATAAGAATCAGAAAGACTATCATAGAAAATCTGTATTAAGTGCCATTGAGCAAAATTATGTTGTGGACACTTTCTTAGGAGATCATTATATCTTTCCCATGCATCATGGAACTGTTCTCTTGGGATTTGGGAAAATGCCGTGATTTCTCTTCTCATGTGATAGGTTTTACCTATTATGTAGTACTTTTTCAAGAACTCTTGTTGCAACATCTCCCATGTAGATATGGAATTTGGAGGAAGGGAATGCAACCAAGTTCTTGTTTTGTCCTTGAGAGAAATTGGAAAAGTTGAATCCTAAATGAATCATTGGTAAGAGTGGTCAACTTGGTAGTTGAACATAATTCCAAAAATACATCCAAGTGCTTATAAGGATCCTCTGTTGCAAACCCATGAAAGGTAGGAAGTATTTGGATTATAGTAGGCTTGATCTCAAAATAGGTTGCATCAGCATCCTGAAATGCAAAGCACGAAGGAGAAGTGTATGTGGTAGGAATAAAATGGTCCCTTAATTGTGGTTGTGGAGGGACAGGTGGAACCTGTCCTCCATTACCATTGCCATTACCCAGTGCATCATAATGTTTAGCCATGTTATCAGAGGAACTTCCTATATTATTCAAATGTTTTTTAAGTTTTCTTAACTGACTAAGAGTTCTCTCTATTTCAGGATCATGCACTAAAGTTTTTGACCGAGTTTGATGAGTTATCATGCATTAATTCCACTAATCCTAAAAGTGACAAAAATAAAATTTCCTAAGTAAAAGAAAACAATAAAAACTCACAGAAGGTTTAATAAACCGAAGTTTTTATCCCTTAAGCATTTTCGTCCTCATTGCTAATTTCCTATACCTGAAAAGGAAAAGAATTAAGGTGAGATATTAGAAAGTCCAAAGACTGGTAAACCAAAATAAACTAATTAAAAACTAAACAAAATAACAAATCTCCCCGGCAACGGCGCCAAAAAAATTTGTTGCGTTATTTTATTAATCCTCTCGCAATAGAACGAATCCTTGTAGGATAGCACTATCTAGAGAGGGTCGAACCCACAGGGAGATAAGTATTTATATTTGGCTTTTAATTAATTCAATGGTTTACAGGTAACTGGTGAAATTGTTTGATTGATTGTCACGATTAACAATTGAAATTAAACTAAAATTAAGCTAAATTAAACTAAGTTATCAGTGAGAGAAAGGTCTTAGGGCATTTCATCACAATCATTATATTATGGTTAATTGTTTCAACTATGGGGATTTAACAAATTATGTTTTAAATGAATTGAACTCAATAACATTCGTTCAATTCAGATTTTAAAGAAAGATGTTTTATAAAATTGAATTAACTATAACCTATCTGCGGTTAGCATGGACTATCCACCTACCTACTCTAACTACTTTAACTACTTTGCAAATAATCCATCTTTCCTAAGCATAGACTATGAAAACATTCTTTTATAAAAATGTTGGAATACCATTATATGACCTCTATTCTTATGTCCGGCAGGGCTTCGCTAGATACCGTCCAATAAGATAAGTTAATAATAGAAAACAAACTATTATATCTAAGACAAGGTAATAACAATTTGAAATCTATTTAAAACATTAAATCCAATTGAGTTGTCTCAATTGCTCATAGTTATATAATCAAAAACATAATATACATTAAAAATATCCCAGAGTTAAGAACAATCAAACCATAATACTAGATTGGGTTACATCAGTGCCCTAAGAGAGGAATTAGCTACTCATGACGATGCCGGATGTCATCTGCGTTGGAGTTGTCTCCATTATCACGGACGGCACTTTTCTTCTCAGGATCTTCACCTTCTAAGGTTGTGGAAACCCTAAAAGCCGCCACCACAGTATCAGCCTTCTAAAACAATACGAGAAAAAAAGGGACCTCTTCGATCAAGGCTTACACCTTCTTTTATAGAAGAAAATAAAGGCTTGGTAGGCTTTTAGGTCTTCTGGCCCATCTGGAATGAGATACGGCTTGAAAAGAAAACATTCCCATAACTTAAATCTGACATGTCATGGAAGGCTCGAGCTTTAGGAACAAAGGCTCGAGCTTTAAGGTTCAGGCTCGAGCTTTTTTGAATTGGTGCTCGAGCCTCAAGGATTGGTGCTCGATCTTCACTTTGACACTTAGCCAAATTTCTTCAATTATTTTTCGAAGCGTCTTTTTCTTCAACACTTAGAATATTCTTGGGCTTCATCTCTTTTAACATTACTCGATCCAAGCTTCATGGGCTCGAGCACTAGGTACCAGGCTCGAACTTTAGTGACTCAAGGCTCGAGCTTTGGGTAATGGTGATCGATCCTTGAGGTTAGGCACGAGATCTGGGAGCTTGGAAATCAACTGTTCAAATTCCGATGCCTTGTGCTCGAGCTTGGGGGTTAAGACTCGAGAACTCTTGGTTAGGCTCGAGCACCAATAGTTGGGGCTTGAGCTCGAAGGTACAAGGCTCAAGCTTCAATGCCTTATTGACTTTTCTTCTCTAACTTGTAAGACTCGAGCCTCAAGACTTAGGCTCAAGCTTTGGATTCTGAATTCCTCCAAACTTCACCATTTAAGCTCTCGGCTTGCTCTGGATGACCAACAACGACTCTGTAAGCTTCGATATCATTATAAAGTCCCGGTTTTAACCGTTTCTCTGCGAAAGTACTTATAAACACACATTGAACATAAATCAGTCTAATAATGGATAGAAGTATCACTTTAGGCCTTAACATACATATATATAGGGGCTCAATCGCTCATCACACTCATCCTTGAGCTCCGGTACTCTCCTTCTTAGATGCTCCAGCATCTTCTCGTTTAGGACATTACCTGGAAGTGTGTCCCAGCTCTCTACAAGTATAGCAACTACCCCTGAACGTATCAAATTGTCTTCTTTGTTGGTTAGCCTGTGGCTAACCTTGTCCTGCCTGTAGCCCCTAATTCTGCTGTCTTTAAGCTAACCCAGGACATTGTTTGGTTGTATGCCCATAATCTCTGCAGGCAAAGACCCTTAAGCATAGTCTGAACCAATGGTACTGCTACTACTGTCTGCTAAACGTGCGACTTATTCTGAAGTGCATTTGTTACACCTGCTGCTACAGCCTAAGCAATGATGTAAACTAACTGAGGAGAATACACTGGATCCCTACCCTGAGTGTGGCCCCAATCCTAAGACTCTTGAGTCTGTTGTACTTCCTCCTGCTCAATGTGCAACTGATCATCATCAACCTGAAACCTTGGCAGTGGTTACTCTTCTGTAAGTTGCTGACGTCGTAGGAGATTCTGCTGCCTACGTGCTGCTCCCATTCGCTGCCTGTTGCTCTGATTGTCTCGTCTTCTTCTAGTGTTAACCATTTTGTTAACATAGAAAAATAGACGTTAGAATGATTTAAGCGGACCATAAAGGAATACAATGAATCCTAAACTTAGGTTCTAACAAAAGAATATGCTACGCGAAAGTCAAATAACGATAGATCCCTAAAGACACTTGAACCTGGAGTGCTCTGATACCAACTGTGATACCCCTCGATTCTAGTACCACGAGTGATCAAGTCCGAGCACAGATCTGAGGGATATTAAAACAATTAGGTAATTTAACAAGCATAAAATACAAAATAGATTTAAGAATAAAGAATAAAGCTGGAAAAAACTAAAATAATAAATCCTTTAATAATTAATCCAATAATAAATCTTCAATAACAAAATCCTCTGATACCAGTAATTAATTAAAATTACAACTTGAAAATCCATCATGTGGACCCCTAATCCAAAAATCCAACTGAAATAAAATAATATCTAACTAAAACAATAATAAGTAAATCCTACGTTAAAACGGAAGAGTGAAAAGATCGTCTCTGCTCAACAAGAACAATCCCTAAGCTTGGAACTGACGAACACCTGAAAAATAATGGTAGGTCAAGCCCACAAACAAGTTCTAATCTACTACATCCTAAATAGAGACTCAGAACTTATATGCATCCTAATTAATTCAACAATAACTAATAGTCCGTATATATATATATACACACACACACACATTAAGGGAACCTCACTAGACTATAGAGTTGCCTCAACCTGAATAGTAGGCAACATGCAAAACGCATATATAGTGGGCATGAGTACCTAGACCTACTAGGGCACACAACTATACTATATCTAGCTACACATCCCTGGCAATATATGCACCCTAACCATGATCCTTAGACTCAAGCTTATATCATGGGATATAACTATATATATAATCCGTCTGATTCAAACATAAAATAAATATCCTGTATGTCATCCAACTGATTCAGTTGACCTAACATGAATAGATAGGACTTAACTTTTTTAGTTAATCTGTCCCTAATATGCCACCATCCCATACTGGTGCATATAATGTATACAATCCATAAATGATGCTACAGTTATAATATCACATCAAATAAATTCATACATAGTATGATATAAATCATACAGATATTCCTTTGCATTTAATTGAGCAAAATATAACAATTCTAAGTAGCATGCATTGAATTTATCTCATAAAATTTAACATGTATCTCAAATAATTGTACTCCTCCACAATCTGATCAAATTTATTTAAAACCAAACAATTGATTAAAATAATTTAATCCAACCATATTTAATTAATTTAACCTTTTAAATTAATTAAATTTTATACTTAACATGTGTACTTAAATCATGTTTTTAAAATCCTCCATAAATCTAATTTAACAATTTAAAAATCATTAAAACAGATTTAATAACATATTGTGAACTGTTGACAAAATCCCAAACAAAACTCAAACTCCAGTACTGAATCAGTAGACCGAAACCCTATTCCAGTCTACCGATACAGCTCTATCGGTCGACCGATGACCCATACCGGTAGGCCTGTCGGCCGATAGCCCTACTTCAATTGACCGAAACCCTGAATCGGTCGGCCGAACCCTGCGCTGTTCTTCTCCTTCTTCAATGAACTTCCCCCTACGAACCTCCATTGTTAAAGCTTCAAATCTCCAATTCAACCTCCCAGAACGTCCCAATAATTCCAACATAGTTCATAAACATTATTTAAACATTATAGAGCATACATCGTGCATCAATTGTCCAAATTACCAAGCATATACACAAACCCATTACATATATACATACACTCTAATTTCAGTTTTAGTTATGCAAA